GTCAATTATTGTTTTCTAACCCTCCCTCTTTACTGCTCCCCATTAATCTTTCCTGGACTACTTAAGAAAGACTTTGCTTTGCTGCGTAGGGCACTAAAAGCTGTTAGTAGGGAAAGTAGGATTTCGTTAAACCAACTGGTTAATACCATTGTGGATAGACATATAATGTCATGTAAGAAACTAGCGAATTCTATATTGTCAGACCCCGAACACCCTCTCTATACGCAGCTCTCTCCTTGCATTTCATCTGGTAGAACTAGAAGTAACTATAGGAGGCTATATGCCAGGACTACCAAGTACAAAAACTCCACAATACCTTATCTGGCACAGATGTTATGTGATGAGAAATCCGTTAGGTATGACACGATCAACTTACTGCGGTACTCTAACAAATAGTTCCCGTTAACTTTTGTTCTCCTTTCTTTGTTACTATTATATTGTTGCTCACATATTCTACTACACACTAATTTTATATTTCATATCCTGTGGTGCATTGTTTAAATATGTGAATGCAATGCTGTTCTTTTTTATTTCTTTTATTTATCTTTTTTCTTTCTGTTGTTGTCCCTTTTTATTTTCAAAATCTTATAAAATTTATGAGGTAATTAGATGCAATATTGTAATGCACGCTGAAAATTCCATACCTGTACCACAAATACTGTTTGAAATAAAGCTATTATTATTATTATTATTAATAATATGTATAGGTTCGACCACGCGTCTAGTCCGTGTTCAATTGCTGGCTGACGCACTCTTAAACCTCACCCCCCCCTAGTTCACTAGACGATAGTAGGCCAAGAAAAGATGGAAGGTGGGGGGCATGAGACTAAAGTCACCACGATCGTCACTGTTGAAACTTCAAAAAGCTTGTAGATTCATGCCCCACATTGGACACAAAAGCATGAGAATGGCGTAACCTAACTGCTGTGGATTTCATTGACTGATGTAGCCATGTTTTCGTTTGACCAACACTGGCTCTCTTACAACCTGACTCTATATCAGCTTACATCGCCCGTCTAGGAAGCTGATGGATGGCTGGGTATGCGTAACACATGTCCTAACCATCTCAGTTGACTGACTTTCCCTCCTCACCTAGTACTCAGCGGAAGTTTAACCTCAATATTCCTCGCCTTGTTGTACGGCCTAACACAGGAGATAGAACGCAGGCACCTTTGATCAAAGATAGCAAGCCAAAATCTTTTCATTTCTTCCACTTCCAATGGCCATGTCTAGCTAACAGCCAGCCATAAAGGAGGACGGAGAGAACCTCCCGCTGAGCAAGCAGTAAACACATCCATTGATCAACAGTCAGCGGGATATCACGTCTACTAAGCCAGACTAAATGCCAAACGAGCCTTATTTATTCGTTCTGAGACTTCGTCAGTGATCAACCTGCTGCTGCTTTCGGGCTAATCCAACTCCCCAAATAAATAAGTGAATTGGTCTACTGTATGTGTTGATAAAAATGGTTATTGATTGTCTGGTGTCAATTAACTGGTAGCTTGTGTGAGTGTGTGTATAATACAGCTTTCTGTGTTCAACCATCATTCGGTCACACTTATCTCTCTCTCTCTCAGCAAGCATATCCAGCTGACAGGTGTCAACTACCTACCATTAATTACTACAGTTCTTATCGATTAGACAAGTTGTGTCAATAAGCATTAGGATTCTCGGAGGAATGCAATCAATGCTTTCAGTAATCCCAACAAATATAAAGGGGAGGAAAGGAAAGTGAAGGAAGAGAAATGAGACCATAGGATAGTTTCATTGCAGTTGAAATTTTTGTTTTTGATTTTTGTCATCATCATCATCATTATTTGTCTGTAGATAAAAATTTATGACGTAGTATATATAGAGTATAGTGGATGTCTACCGGTGAGTCATTGATTATTTTCGCCTTTTCGCTGTATTTTGGTCAACTTGTAACACGGTTTTATTGAAAAAGGAATTTATGTATTTGTAGATTAAGTGAGACTGACCACGCCTAGTTTTCTAGCTGGTCTGAAGTCTGGAAAAAGGAGGAAGGTTGGGTGTGGGGCTAGCGATCATACCTTAGATAATCAAGCCAATCACTACAGAAACTGCGACTCATGGAGAAAATATAAAAGACAAACTTATTCCTCGCTGGAATCAGAGAAACGATTTGACTCAGGCTGATGGAAGCCTTCGGGAAACCAAGCAGTCAGCCACCCAACCAGCCGATATCTCTTCTTCTGATGAAAACAAAAATAAACACGGGGACATAGTGTCTGAAGTTGGATGGGAAAGTTGCTCAAATTGCAAAAGAAATGAGAAGACATGGCATGGTAGCTGTGCTAGGAATCTGTGAGACTAGATGGAATGGAAGTGGACACTCCGAATTGTTAACTAGACAGACAGTAATCTCTTTCAGTCACTCAGTCGACAACCACGAATATACTGAGACTTGGCGTGTCACCGGAAGCATTTGCAGCAGGCAACATTTTCCCTCTTTGATTTGACACTAGCCAGTAGCTGGTGTGATGTGTCTAGTACTTTCTTTGGTGCAGACTGAATCCTTACAGTCAGGTTCGCAATGTGGCCACCATGCCACTTGGTGGCTCGTCATTACGGCGCACACTGATTTGATGATATCAGACGGTTGGAGGCAATGGGAAGGAAGCATTCGGCCTAGGTTTCGTGCTAGTTGGAACTCACCAGTTAGTCAGTCAGTCAGCAGAGTGTATCTACAACAACCTTGAAGGAAGTCATGTCCCTCATCTGAGATTCGAACCCATGTCACCCAGTGTGCTGCAGTCAGAGACGTTACCACTTAGCAGCTATTCGGACTGGTGATTGACCTCCTGTAAAACGGTTTTGGATACTTTGATGGAATTTGACTGATAGAATTCAGTCTGCACCAACGAAAGGACTAGACACATCACACTAGTTACTGGCTAGTGTTCAATCAAAGTGTGGTAATACAATCCTACAGGAGGTCAATCGCCAGCTCGAATAGCTGCTCAGTGGTAACGTCTCTGACTGCAGCACACTGAGTGACACGGGCTCGAATCGCAGAAGGAACACGAGTTCCTCCAAGGTTGTTGCAGATACGCCCTGCTGACTGACTGAGTGGTGAGTGCCGACTAGCACGAAACCTAGGCCGAAGGCTTCCGGCTTATTACCACCAACCCTCTTCACTAGATTGACACTAAAGATTATATGGTTGGAAAGATTTATCACTAGCACAAACCTCTGGTAGTAAACTGACCGAGAACCTATTGGTGATAGATCGGACACACTGTTAATGGACCACTGAGTGATATGGCGCACCAGGCCATCACTCGAACGGGAAACGATGAGTTTTCGTAGGTCCAAGGGTGACACGGAGGAGATCATTTGGTGACGAAATGAGAACCTATGGGAAATCGTAGAGACGAGAATATAAGAACAACAAAGTTCAGCGAAGAGTCTCTTTTCGGCCAATTCATTCACCTAGCTCTACAATCACATATATACATAATTATTTTGTGTGTGTGTGTGTACATTAGGATTTATTGTGAAACAAAAATAAAATAACCTAGACTTACTGTTTACGTCACAAAGGTGTTTCTAGAATGTGTGTTCTACTAGATACCATAGAGGGTAATCATTCATAAAATCAGGCATTAATAAATAATGCATGACGCTATATACTATTGATTGACCAAGATGACTAGTTGAGTAGTAATCACAGCAACCACTAGTGGTGCTTGCCAGCCAGCTAGATTGAAGTTATCTAAGTAGTCAGAAAGGTGTTTCTCCTATTGTGTAGGGCCTTCAATCACCATCGCACCCACCCCACCGCTTTCATCACTTACTTTTTATAATTTTTATTTTTTTATTTTATCCGTGTACGTTCCCATTGAAACATAGGGTTTCAAGCTTCTTGGGCTTTGAAGTTTCGGTAGCAGTGGTGTTTATATTTATGGGATGGGATTGCCAGCCTCATTCCCAACCTTCCCTCTTTACCAGCTCTATTACCGGCTTAGCAAAGTAACGGAGTGTGTCGGTCAGGGATCGAATCCCGAACCACATGCGTGGTTGACTAAACTACTCATAAAGAACATCTTGATTAAATACACAGGGATCCGTGGGACCGCTAAGAAGACTCTAGGAGATCTGGATTTCGCGTGTGGATTATTGATGTTCAGTGTCACACAAATTCGTAGACTTGCAGGAGAAAGCCGACAAACTGGCTGAAGAAGCAAGCAGTCAGCGAAGACAGGGCTGCGCGTGAGCATAGAGGAGAGGGAGGTGATGAAGCTAACCAACCACCACCACCACCAGCAGCAGCAACAACAACAACCAACACTAATCAACTATCAACGGGAGAAATATGAAAGAGGTGACCTCTTTTCTTCAACATTATTCCAACCACGGGGTTGGGGAAAGGACGAAAATGTAAAAGCCAAAATCTGAAAGGCGAGTCACACCTTCATCACTCTGAAATCAGTTTGGAAATCTTCTGAATTCATTATGAGGAGCAGGATTCGGATTTTGAACACCAATGTTAAATCGTTCAATTCTTCTACATGGGTCAGAAACTTGCACTGCGTTCGCAACAGCTGGCCCGTTCACTGACTCCACCAAATTGAAGATCATATGACCGGCTGGCCACAAAGAATTAGCAATAAGAAACTCTGATTGGGAACAAACTAAACAAGAATCTATTGGTCAACACATATGCAGGAGAAAATGGAGATGGATTGGACACACATCACTGAGGAGACCATCGACATTGATATCGTGTGCCAGGCAGGCACTACCTCGAGTGGGACCCGAAGGGGAAATCGATGAGTGGATCATCACTTCGAGGGTGAAATGTAGAAGACCGTGAGAGGAATCAATGAGAGACTATTAGCAATTTTGGGGCTACGCAGATGACGAGGACTGCAAAGGGATTAGGACGTAAGTGCAGATGTTCTGTTGAAGCTCTATACTCCACTCGGAACGCAAGGGAACAATAATAGACTTGTTCAACAAGGGAATAAGTGAACAAACCAGAGACAATCTATTTATATGTATCATATTTTTATTATACACAAATATATGACCTAAAATAAACACAATAATAAAATGATAAGAATAGAAAACAGTCGACCACACCGGTACATATAAGGATAAAATGACGCAGAAAATCTACAACGAAAAGGCAATTGAAAAAGTGATCAGCATCGAAGAGAATGAAAAAAAAACGCACACACGAGGTGAAGACACTGATGACAGTGAGTAAGTAAGTAAGTAGTGGAAGAAAGAAAGAAAGAAAGAAGAGCATGTAGACGAAGTGAAAAACAGGATGGTACACAAGCTGGATCTATATATATGTATATAATTGTGTTTATTTTTCTCTCTATTAACAAACGGGGTTGATAATGACAGCAATTTGCTTGCTTGCTTGCTTTTCTTGTCATTTTTAACAAATTAACTCCAAAATATCTTCATCACTATGAGACTTAACCAATCAATATCCGTTATGGCGGTTTAACTTGATATACTGCATAGGCTTCTAATTGACCCGTACGATCACAGGCAAATATCCATTCTGGTCGAGTGAATATCAAATTTCCATTGGATGATAATGCCTACACCATCGAATGTAATAGAAAATAAATTCATCAATTAATCATTTAATAATTAACTAATTAATTAATTAATTAATTAAAAAGAAAAATCAAAAAGAAAAACAACAACAGCAACACACACACAAGCAAACATGCCTCTTGGATTCCACTACTCACTAACAATGATACTAATAATAACAGCTTTATTCTGAACAATGTTTATTATACTGTACAGCAGAGTTCATTAAATGATATTTTCTCATCGTCCAGGATTTTCAGATATAACATTAACTGACGGTAGATCGTGTGACACAGTGTTCTATCTGAACTGAAGCCCAGATCAATCCATTTATGATGATGATGATGATGATATCTCTTCTTTTTGTTCTTCTTCTTCGAGAAATACACAACTTCATCATTTTGTTGATGTGGATGCCAATTCCAGAAAGTTTCAGGATTTACACTTTGTAAACCGACGACACCCTTGTCAGGAACGAGCATCTCATGTGTTAGGATAAGCTGCCATTTAGGAGAATGCATTTTAACATGTTTAGTAGAAACTTGCAAATCACAGCAGGTTGTAAATGTTTTAAATACCCGCCAGAGTAAACAATACTATTGGAGGTCATATTTTACTAGATTTAAACAAACGTAATGAAAGGGAAATTGAATGCAATATACTGATGAAGGTTTCCGATAGCCCAAGTTTTAAGCGGGCCGCCATTAACAATGACTGAAATGCAAGTTTTGGTCACTTTTTCTGTTAACATTTCGAAGATAACAACTAGACTGCATTAGTTGAACCGTTTTCCAGATACCTCATTATTTTCCCCTTTCTTTGTCCAAATGAAGCTTTTATGATTATTCCATTGGGTTCCAAATGGTGGAACATAGGGCTTCAGTGGCACGTAGCGATTTCACTCTGTCCTCTGCAGCCCCTTTTTTCTGGTTTCACGATAGCTCATAAACTTTTGATTGGACATTAACAACAAGTGTCATGTGTCTCTAGTCAGGATAGGTCAGTGGTAACGTCTCTGATTGCAGCACTGGGTAACTCGAATCCGAATCTCAGATGAGGGACATGAGTTCCTTCGAGGTTGTTGCAGATACGCCTTGCTGGCGAATCCCGATAAGCAGGACTGGTTGTAGAGGACAATTTCTATACAACTAGTAACCAATGTCAAAATGCAAATTCTCCTACAGATGTTGACTATCATGCTCCATGTTCATCGAAGCATCTTGAACGTCACGCGCTATGTGATATAACTCGGCTCGGCAAACGAATTTTTCAAATCAAAATGAATATGGATTTCGAAATTGATGTCAGTGTTAGAAGGTGTTGAGGGATCCTCTGGTATTTTCTTTTTTGGCATTTTTCTCCAAAATCTTAATCAAAAAATATACGAAATCCAGCAACAAAAGCATTCACTTGAGCTAGAAATCTCCTCCGCTACTTCAAAACACTGTAATTATATACATATATAAAATGAAAGATTTACACTTCGAGCTAATATGAACACCTTTATCCTTTGGTCATGACAACAAAAATATACAACGTTAAAATTTGTCATTAGCATTGTGTATAGGTGTATCAGTCAGTTGCGCTTAATACTCTGTAAATTTGAAAGATGAAGATCTAATTAATGGCAGGAGCCGTGCTCCAGGTTCGATTCCCTTCACCAATGCACTCACTCCATTTAACCTCGTTTAGCCAGCCGATAGTATGCCCGAAACAGATGAAAGGTTTCAAGTGAGGCTAGTAGCTGCGCCCTCTCAAAAATATACACCCACCGCGACCTAAAACTACAAAGCTGAAGCTTGAAGTCCTTCCTGTGTTCCAGTTGGATAGGATTAGGTAGGTAGGTAGGCAGGCAGGCAGGTGTGGCTAGTCTCCAAATCCGAAACACTGTGTATGTGAAATAACCATCTGTCCTACAGACAGCGTCTCCGCCGGCCGGCCAGCCAGCCAGCTGCCCACTACAAAAACTAGAGCAAAAATACAAACACTGCACACATACACACAAAACAATAGTGGGTAATGTCATAACGTTTCGAAACAGTGTTTCTCTAACTGATTTCAGCTGATGGTTAGTAATCGTATAACCAATCAAATCTCTCTCTACAAAGCAACACTTGATAATGAATCTAACGCTCACTAGCCACTGGTTCCATAGAAGAAGTAGTTACCTCCAGTTCTAATGATGATAAGTCGTAACCAACCAGAGGGGGCGGGTCCATTAAGTCAGGCAATTGACGAGCAGTTACGCTATATACATGTAAATATCACGAAATGATAGAAGTTAGAATTCATGAACCATTGACTTGGGTCCGAGTGGTTCAATGATCTTGTAACCGGAAGGCCCCGCCCCGGGTTCGAAATCCTATGGTGGGTGTGTGTACTGATGAAGAGCCCCAAGCACTAGGACGAAACAACTGTTTATTTACTTACTTATTTACATAAGAAATTAGTAGGTAAGATAAACGTGTACGAGAATAAACAACAATAGAAGATGACTCAGACACGATAACCGAAGAAAAAGCAACACGCTATACCCAATATATTCAAAGAAGATGAATTCAACTAGGCAGCCAACCAGCCAGCCAGCCAGCCAATGGTGATAAAGATTCAACAGACAAAGAATGTGTTACTGTAATTTACTATTTTAATAATGTTTTAGGCCTTAACACAATGAGATGATGCGTAGCAAGCAGTATAGTAGTCATTGTCATCAGCACAATCCTCATAGTGATATTGGTTGTTGTGGTGGTAATGATAAAGAGAATAATAATAATAACATTGAGAATTACTGACTCATTTGACCCTAGTTTGTCTAAAAGGCATCATCGACACTCATCAACAGACGTCCCTCTTCGTTAACTGCATACTGACGATCAATCAATCACATGCCTCCCTAATGGTGGAACTCGTGAATATAAACGACCATTTAGGTAGCCAAAGGTGATACGAGGAGACTTTGTGGAAAGCTTATCTGATGGTCTGGACCTAGGTTTCGTGCTTGTCGGCATTCGCCAGCAACGCGTATCTGCAACAACCTTGAAGCAACTCATATCCCTCATCTGAGATTCGGACTCGAGTTACCCAGTGCTTCAGTCAGAGACGACGTTACCACTGACCTATCCTGACTAGACACACATGACACTAGTTACTGCTGTCCAATCAATATATCTATTACAGTCCTGCAGGAGGTCAATCACGAGTCCGGGTAGCTCAGTAACAACGTCCGTGATTCCAGCACTACGTGACACGAGTTCGAACCTCAAAAGGAATACAAGTTCCTTCAAGGTTGTTGTTGCAGATATGGCTTGCTGACTGACTGACTGACTGCTGGGTGAGTAGTGCCCACTAGCACGAAATCCAGGTCCAAGCAGGGATTTCTACCAATTGCCTCTAACCAATTAAAAACAACAATCCTGAGTGTACCATGATGGCGACATTGGAGACTTGACTGATAGAATTCAGTCTGCAGTAAACAAAGGACTAGACACACATGACACTTGTTGTTAATGTCCAATCAAAAGTTTATGAGCTATCGTGAAACCAGAAAAAAGGGGCTGCAGAGGACAGAGTGAAATCGCTACGTGCTACTGAAGCCCTATGTTCCACCATTTGGAACCCAATGGAATAATCATAAAAGCTTCATTTGGACAAAGAAAGGAGAAAATAATGAGGTATCTGGAAAACGGTTCAACTAATGCAGTCTAGTTGTTATCTTCGAAATGTTAACAGAAAAAGTGACCAAAACTTGCATTTCAGTCATTGTTAATGGCGACCCGCTTAAAACTTGGGCTATCGGAAACCTTCATCAGTATCTATCGGATTCAATTTCCCTTTCATTACGTTTGTTTAAATCTAGTAAAATATGACCTCCAATAGTATTGTTTACTCTGGCGGGTATTTAAAACATTTACAACCTGCTGTGATTTGCAAGTTTCTACTAAACATGTTAAAATGCATTCTCCTAAATGGCAGCTTATCCTAACACATGAGATGCTCGTTCCTGACAAGGGTGTCGTCGGTTTACAAAGTGTAAATCCTGAAACTTTCTGGAATTGGCATCCACATCAACAAAATGATGAAGTTGTGTATTTCTCGAAGAAGAAGAACAAAAAGAAGAGATATCATCATCATCATCATCATAAATGGATTGATCTGGGCTTCAGTTCAGATAGAACACTGTGTCACACGATCTACCGTCAGTTAATGTTATATCTGAAAATCCTGGACGATGAGAAAATATCATTTAATGAACTCTGCTGTACAGTATAATAAACATTGTTCAGAATAAAGCTGTTATTATTAGTATCATTGTTAGTGAGTAGTGGAATCCAAGAGGCAGGCATGTTTCATCCTCTTTGGGATTCTTCAACCAGCATCCCAACCCAGTGAAACTGACATATAATAATAATAATAATAATCCTGTTTCACTCAGTATGTGATATATCTAATAAACAAATTAATATGGATATATTTGACCATCATCTCGTCGGGTGACACCTCTTGTTTGTTTATAAATTGATTTCAGAAACAATTAGAAAAGTCGGTAAATCTGTATTTTGAGATCCATGTTGATTTTCCTTTGAAAAATTCGTTTCCTGAGTTATATCACATAGCGCCCGACGTTCAAGATGCTCTGATGAGCACTGGGCGTTAAGTCAACATCTCTAGGAGAATTTGACATTGGTAACTGGTTCTATAGAAATTGTCCTCTGTACAACCAGTAACCAATGTCAGAATCCAAATTCTCCTAGAGATGTTGACTTAACGCCCAGTGCTCATCAGAACATCTTGAACGTCGGGCGCTATGTGATATAACTCAGGAAACGAATTTTTCAAAGGAAAATCAACATGGATCTCAAAATACAGATTTACCGACTTTTCTAATTGTTTCTGAAATCAATTTATAAACAAACAAGAGGTGTCACCCGACGAGATGATGGTCAAATATATCCATATTAATTTGTTTATTAGATATATCACATACTGAGTGAAACAGGATTAT